GATATGCCCTGATTTGGGGAAGAGACATCATGACAAGATCTCTTGAGAATTCCATCCCCTCTGAAGGCCTGTGTGATAAAGATCAAGATGTGTGGTGTTTGGACAATAAACAGCTTTTCACCACACACTGGGTAGAGGAGGAAGGAGACCCGTATACTGTGTCACCTCAGTTGGAGTTAGAAGTGGCCATTAGGCTTTCTGAGCTAAAGAAAGATTCTGAGCTCTTAATTCATTCATCGCCTTGTATACCAGAACATCCTAAAGTGCCTTGTCCAGGAGGAGAGAAATCCATCCACCACAGAGCTGCAGGCCACTGGAGAAAGCTGTATTATGAAAATGGCCACACTTTTCAGGCCAAATGCTTCAGCAGGCGAGCTCACTGTGCTGTCTGCACAGACCGTGTAGGGGGACTTGGCTGCCAGGTGTATAAGAGCATTAACTGCAAACTCTCAGTTCACAAGAAGTGCCACAAACTTCTCACAGTTGAATGTGGGAAGCATTCTTCACCATCAGAGCCCACGATGCCAGCTGATCCATCATCCATGGCCTCAGACCCTGCACACACAGCGAACCCACATAACCTTTCAACTCATGAGGCTTTAGGACAAGTTGATGAAGAGAACGAGGCAGGGAACACCAGGGAAAGTGGCAAAGCTTCATCTGGTTTAGGTCTTGAGAACTTTGACTTGCTCTGAGTGATTGGCAGAGGAAGTTATGGGAAAGTACTGTTTGTCCAACTGAAAAAATCAGATCGTATGTATGCAATGAAAACAGTGAAAAAAGAGCATGTCAACGTTGATTGGATACAGAGAGAGAAGCGTATTCTAGACCAGGCATTCATTTGTCCTTTTCTAGTTGGACTGCATGCTTGCTTCCAGACAGAAAGCAGACTATTCCTTGTTCTAGACTATGTCAGTGGGGGAGATCTACTGTTTCATGTGCAGCAACAAAGCATGCTTCCTGAAGAACATGCCAGGTTTTACTCCACAGAAATCAGTTTAGCAGTCAACTACCTTCATTGGCAAGGAATACTTTACAGAATTTTAAAATTAGAAAATGTATTACACTGGATTCAGAAGGGCA